TGAGGCTGGGAGACACGGCCCTTGTCCCCACTCGCTCATGCACCCCTGTAGCACCGTGGGGTCTGGCACGCCCAAGGGCCTGATCCTGCAGGCGCTGTGCCTTGCTGTGCAGGACACAGCGCACAGACAGGCCGTGCGGTTAGGACACGTCCTTCCGACCTCACGGGAAACAAGACACGACACAGGAGGGGAGGATTCGGGGACCGCAGACGAGGGAGCTCAGGGGGAAGGGCCTCTCCCGCGAGAGTCCCCCTGCAGAGTGGAGCTGCAGCGAGCAGCAGGTTTTATCGCTCTCCTGCCACCCCCGGGGAGGCTGGGCTGTGCCTTTTCTCGCCAGCAGAGAGGAACATCCAGGGGAGACGTTCCCACAAGGAATATCAAGCAAAGCCCAGAAACACGCTCCCTGCTACTGTATCAGGGCAGCAAAGTGCACTGTCCAGCCTCCCAAACGCCGGCTCTGAAGACGCAAGGCTGGACACCGTGACCATGTCGCTGCTCCCCAAAAGCACCCGGCCTTCGGCTGCTGACACACACGGGTGCTGTGCTGCACTTCCAGGGGACACACGATGGAAACAGTGTCCTGCTTTACAGTCGCAAGGCGCCGACGGGACACACCAAGGGATCCCGGTTGCTTAACCAGGTGCTTCTCCACACAAGAACGGCCGATGGTCCCATCCACACATGAGCTTGCTGTGCTCCTCTAATTCATAACTGGCCTCCACTCTGCGTGAACATCTAAAATCTAATCCTCTCGTAACTGTATTTATTAGCTCCAGCAAAGCCTGCAGATTACAAAACACTCACTCTTTTTTCTTCTCTGAACAAGCCAATTAATGCTAATGCTGCTGCAGCGAGGCTGAGTGCGTTCGGCCAGTCCTGAGCCCTTATCAGCACCAAGGTGACCAGGGCTTCTCCACAGCCAAGGGAGGAGGAAGGAGCCTTGCACTGTGTTGGAGGCTGGATGAGCAAAGAGACTGAAATAATTTTGAGGTGTTTCCCTTGGTCGAGCAGCTTCAAAACAGTGCTGCTAATTAATTTAATTATAAGGCATTGAATACTTCCCCAAAGAGAGGTGCTGAGAGGATGCAAGCTAATTTTAAAATCGTAACAACAATCTATAAACTTAATCTGCTCATTTTATTATCTTCAGTGTTGATGAGGAGCTCAATTAAAATTGTTTATTGTTGCAACAAGCTAAGCTAGAAAGCATACTGTCATTATGTGCTGCTGCTTTTCTTTCTTGGAGGAGAGGCCAGGAAAGCAAATACCTCTTGTTTCTGCTGAGTTAGAGCACAGTCCCATCCACAGAACCACACTATCTAAAAGAAACAGCTTTCTGAAACATCACATCCGAGTCCCTCACCAGAGTAAGCCAGAAAAGTAATTAAACTCTGAGTTTCTTTTGGGAACAGGTAGAGAGACTCAGACAAATAAATTATGCCTTCAATTCTGATTGTGCTAGAGTGTGTAGTATGGGAGTCTAATTCAGTGGGGGAAACACTAAAGAAATGATTGAAAGATGATCGTATTTTTACTTGGAGTACTCCAGCACAGAGCAAGCATCATACGATTACACAAGCAAATGGCACAGGAGGCTGCGGGGCTATTCTGGGGGGTTCAAGAGGAACGTGTCGCTGTGTGCTCACAGCCAGGTCCGTTTCCCAGACTCTGAAGCACTCTGTCACCTCGTCACCAAGCCCTGGATTTCCCCAGACCTCCTTGAAAGCAGCTGCACCAACCTGGAGCCAGCCCCTCCGGCAGTGACCTCCCAGCGAGGCTCCCAGCATCCCGACACAGGAGGCTGCTGGAAATCCCAGCGGACAGGACAAGAGCGGGGAGAGGATCTGGAATCAAGCTGGTTCAACTGCCTGCCTAGAGAACTATAATACACTTTCTTTATAGATAAAATGTAAACATAAAGAGCATACAAATTGCACTTGATCCTTGGGATCTGGCATTTCTACCAAATGAAGGTTTCGGTTCACCATTATTACTCTTCTGGGTGTGAAATAGCAGGATGGTGAGTGACCAACCGGACATGGGCCAAACTTAAAGACAAATAATTTAGGTTAAAAAAAATTAATGAAGTGACATTGGGGAATGTTGTTTAATCTGCAGAGGTGGCAGGAAGGAGAGAACTTGTTTACCCCAGAGAGCAGCAAACTCCCTGGAGCACGCCCAGCACTCGCACGCTGCCGGGGCAGCTCCGTCTGCGCCTGCAGACCAACAGCAGATCCTGGCCCCACCAGGCGAGGGTTCCTGTCTCAAGCTCTGCACAGGCTTGTCTGTGCTGGCTCACACTCCCCTTTGCGTTTGCTACTGGGAGCTCAAAACCTGCGTGGGGTAAGGTGCCCTCCTCCCCGCCAGCCTGCACCACTGGGGCTGCGGCACCCAAGAGCATCTGGGAGTGCGCAGTGCTCACCACGGCACTGCCTGGGAACGCCAGCACAAGGCAGAAAATCGACAAACCAACATTAGCTGACACCTTCTTGAGACCACTGGTTGGTGAAGTTCAGGCAGAGAGTTCTGATCTCTGATGCAATTGAGCTAAAATATCTGAAAAAAGTGAAATCTTGTCAGTCTTGAGCCCTCTTGGACGCAGCCTGGCCACACAGATGAGCCAGAAGAGCCCGAGGGCCAGTGAAAAGGAAACCACCGCGAATGAGGCTTTACTAAACAGAAGCTGGATCCCCTACGGTGACGTGTTCTGTGAAGGCCAGCAGGCCCAGGACAGCCACCAGCACCTACAGTCGTGCTGCTCTGCTTGACTGAGTGACCAGGAGAGAAGGAAGACACCCAGGCATGGCAGGTGCCGTGCCAACCCCGCAAGAGGCTGCCTTAGGGCCCTTCGCTCAATCGTCATTTAGATCCTCATCCCTTTGGAGCAGGCTAACAGGAGGATCTGACTCAAACAGATTTCCAGCCGCACTGTGAACATCTCCCACAGCATTCATTCCCTTTGTAAATCTTTGCCTTTCATTATTAATAATTAATTCACTTGCAATACTTACAGATTATAATAAAAGGCCTGCAAAACACTGTACAAGGCTGCAAAGACCCATTTAATTAACTAACTTCAAGAAAACTTGTATTATTAAGCAGATGCTATTTATGTCTTCCATCAGGGATCAGGCCTGCATCAGTGCAAACTGCCAGCGTGCAAGGCAGGCAGTACTGCACTACTGTCTGCAACAAAATAAAGTGCTGACGTGCCCTAGTTTGCCTGGATTGAACGGCAGGATCTCAGGGATCCCATGGATGCAATGGTCAGTTCTGCCCAAGCCCCAGCGTCTGGCTGGGGTGCGCAGTCCCTTCGGCACAGCCCCTGCAGCCACTTCAAACACCCAGACCCGGGGTGTGCCCCACTGCAGAGGCTGTGGGTGCTGTGGGGCATGCTGGCACTGCAGCCCTCAGGCACAGACCTCCGCCCAGCCATTAACCTGCAGTAGAAAACTGATGCCATGGCACAGCCGAGCAGGACACTCCAGGCAGGCTGCTGCCTTTCCCTTCCCTGCTCCCAACCGGGCACAGGGCAGCCAGAGGAGGAGGGGAAGGGCACTCACCACAGCTGAGGTGGCCCGTCCAGTGGCCAGGGGCATGCTGCCAGAGCAGACATGGGAAGCATCCACCCAAAGCACAGCCATGCCCGCTGTCTCTCCGACTTCAAACCAATTCCCAGGTTTTCATCCCATTTCTGGCTGAATTGGGAGGTTCCTTTCTGCTGCTGTGTGTTGAATTAGTGCTGTTCATAAAACCTTTTCCCCTGCAAAAGCTTCCAGACCTAGAGAGGGAAGAGCACTCGTCCATCTACCACTCCGAGGCAGAGCGGACACTTCTGATCGGGATGCTCCGGCTCAGCTGACAGCACCGGAGTCCCCAGGCTCTGGCGTCAGCCCACAGCTGTGGGCACGCAGCGACGCTCTGCCTGCTTTGCTCCACAGCCTAGGTGACAACAGTCAGAGCCCATCACAGCTGCCCATGAAGCCAGCGAAGGCAAGATGCGGGACGCTCTGCCCGCAAAACTGCAAGGCAGGAAGCAGGGAAGAGAGGCTAAAGTAGCAACAGATGCTTCAGCATCAGTCCTGCACGAGTGGCAGGTCTCTGCCTGCAGGCTCAGTCTGCGCGTGGGCAGCAGAGTGCTGCCTGCTGTTGCTCTGGTCTATAAGTTCCCATCCTACTGCTGGGCTCCAGCAGTAAAACGAGGGACCGGGACCTGCACAAAAGGCAACGAAGGCTGAGAGCATCAGCAGGGCAGCCCAAGGGCTCCACTGCTTGCCCTCTCTTGGCTATGGCTCTCTTCATCAAAGCTTTTCATTTCTTCCCCTGAAATTGTCTTGTCAAGAGAGCCTTAGAAACATTCAGCACCATTTGCTCTGCACTTTAGTGGAGAATATTTGTTTTTGTTCACCAACTGTGGTGTCAAGACTCAGTGAAGTAACTCTTGGAGCGGAAGGGACGCAGCTGGGAAAGTTTCCTTCAGCATAGCAGATGGGGAAAGTCACCTTCCAGAAGTTGGGCGCTGGGTGTGAGCTGTGCTCTGGTCTCTAAAAATAAAAGCAATAAAAGCTCCTTGTGGGGTTGCTAGAACATGTCAGCTTGTATAAAAATACCCATGGATTTCACCAGTATGATGCTAGATATGAAAATGCTGTCAGCTCTGGATTAAGACAGTGCACAAATGTCCATCCACCCTGTTAACCTAATTACCATATGAAATGGCATCATTACAGTTTGAGTCATCTTACAAAACAGTGCTAGGGACAGCCACATCCACCTAGGCACACTGCACACATCCCAGAAGTCCTTGCCTTCGCTGGCACAGGGGACGGGAAGCCCTGCTCTCTTGCCATGTGGCATGACTTGTTTGGCAGCAGCCCAGTGATTCCTACATCCAACCTGAAACCGCAAGGTTTCAGAGATTTGGTCCGGTTTGGGGCTGGCTGGCTGTCTCCTCCCCAGGAGCACCGGGTCAGCGCTCTGCACGTCTGCAGGGCACTGCTTCACACCTGCACGCCTCGGCCATGCATCTGGATCACCTGGGTCCGGAGAGTCTGGATCCCGCTCAGGATGGTCTTCTGGTGCTCCGCCAGCGTGATCCCCAGGCTGAGGACATCTCTGCAAAATGAGCCCCACGTCAGCCACGAAAAACAAGCCCTAACTGTAAGTGCCCCGACACCGACGGCTCCCAGGCAAGGGCAGCACAGGTTTCAGACTATCAGGCTACTGCGGACCTGCCAGAGTAGGAAATCCCCAACTTGTCCCATCCAAAGCAATACAGACTCTGACTGGGAATCCAGGGGTAACACATGCCTGCAACACACCAAGCGTGAGACAGCTCCCGGCCCTGCCACCCTGTGCTGACCGCGTAACAGGTTATCAGTAAATTGCATTCAATTTGACTCTGCTTTCTGGAAGGGACAGGCAACACTACTCGTCAGAAACTACAGGTTTAAATCTCAGCTTCAAAAACCAGCAACTGAGATGCACAACATACGCAGCCCAACCCTCATCAGTGAACTCTTACAGATGTGTTTTGGAAGATCTCTCCTCTTGTTTAGCATCACCTGACTGTAACTGCAAAGCAGAGCTCGCTCACACTGCACCCAGCGGCATGAGGTTATAGCCAGGAAATCATTTCACTTACTGGGCTGTCATCCTGGCCACCGACTCCAGGTAGCAGTAGCCCGCAGCGGTAAAGTTGTCTTTGTACTTGCCCATTTCTATCGCTTCCAGCCACTCGCCCACAGAGCTGAAAGTCGGGAAGGCTGAGAAGGTACGCTCGGTGAGGGGGATGGACGTGCTGTGGGACCTGCCAACAAAACGGGGCGGTGAGGAGGGAGAAGGGCACGGCACGCCTGAGGTGGGAACCTGCAGGCAAAGCAGAACAACAGGCAGCAAAGCAAGAGGGCGATCACCTGGTGCACGTAGAGCTGGGGCACTTCAGGGGCTCCGGGCTCTGCACCATCTTGCTCAGGATGTGGTGGATGTGTGAGAACTTGGGTCTCTGGCTGCGGTCCTTCTGCCAGCAGTCGAGCATGAGCTGGTGGAGGGGCGGCTGGCAGTTCACCGGGGCAGGCAGGCGGAACCCCTGCTCCACGGCCTTCATCACCTGCAGCGGCAGGGGAGGGCGGAGGGGACAGGGTCAGGCGCTGCGATGCAGATTGCAGGCAAACCCCTGGTGCAAGCCTCCCTCCTCACACCCCGTCTGGGGAGCAGCAGCAGCTCCTCCACGCACCACGGAGCCACCTGCACACCATTAGCAATGACAACATTGTCATCTACTGCACGGCCGCCGGGGACTCACGTCCTGGTTGGACATGTCCCAGTAGGGTCTCTCGCCGTAGGACATGACTTCCCACATGACGATGCCGAAGCTCCACACGTCGCTGGCCGGACTGAAGTGGTGATACTGGATGGCTTCAGGGGCCGACCACAGCACCAGGCTCTTCCCACGCTGGACGGGCAGAAGGGGAGAAATGATGTGCTCGCACAGCAGAACATAGCCAATGCACGCGATTCCTGGGCAGCCATTCATCGTGCCCTGCCCAGCATCACAGGGCAGACACCGAGCAAGCCCGGGTGCCACGTGCAGGTTTAGTACTAAGAGAAAACTTTTGCCTCAATTTGTTTTAAAATGGCCATGCAACCGTATGCTGCATGGGAGTGTGAGTCCTGAAATATTAATGGGAGAGGAGAATGCCTCTGGGAAGAGCTGATGGCATTTTATACATTAATATTTAATGAAAATCATTTCAGAGCTGTGCAAACACACAGTCCCTCCACCCTGGCTTGCTCTCCTGTAATTAGCAATCCCCATCTCGGCTTCTGCAGAGCCCTCTGCATGCACTAGGGGAAGCAGGTGACAGACACCGCAGCTAATTGTAATTAACAGCAGGGAGACCTTGACCCCAAAGCCACAGCCGCACTGCACCGCAGTGGGAGAAGTCAGAGCTCTTGCTGGGCTCTCCATCCCCCTCACTCAGCGGGCTGCTCTGTACCCGGCCACATGCCAGCGCCAGGGCAACTCTGCTCGAGAGCTTTGAGGCACGACAGCCATGGCTGAGCTACAGCTCAGCAGGCAACACTCACCACGTCTGGCGAGGGAGGGTTGCGCTGTGGCCAGGGACTCTTCGGGACAGTGGTGCTCTCCCTACAGAGCGCACTGAGCGTGCCTCCCTGCAGCTAGTGATAACGGCTGAAAAAGTTTCCAAGACTCTTTCTGCCACCAGCCTGCTCAGAGCTGGCAAATGACTGCAGCTCCTGGCAGAGCACGGGCCAAACCCTGCAAACAGGCTCCCAAACCCCTGGGACACCCATACCCTGCACTGGGACACAGGTGCCGGGTCCCTGCAGGCAGCGCACATCAGCTGCTGCCTCCTTGGCGCTGCCCAATGCTCCCTGCAAACAATAAGTGCTCATTTGATTGAGGAATCAATGCTCTTTAAAATATTAATGCCTGGTTAATGTGATGTGCTAACAGCCCCAGCTGATACCAGGCAGCTGCGGGGTACCAAATGAAATATGTCTTATTGCTCTGCAGTTAAAAATGCATTGATGCACTCTCAAGTGAAACTCACCGAAGCGGTGTGTGAAAGAAGCAGGGAGGGAGAACCGGCTCCAGCCAGGGGCTGCGGGACCTTGGGGGCCCATGGGGTGCCTGCCCAGCCCGGTGGGGAGGGGCAGCCCCCCAGCTCTGCACCCAGGGGCTCCCAGGCAGCTTCTCCAAGCGCATGTAGGCACTCAGGAGACACAGTGGCTAGTAGAGCTGACGAGGCATAAGTGTGAATCAAGCAGGAGTTAAATTCTTAACTGAAAACCATGAATTTTATTACAAGTGATAAAACAGACATAAGGAACCCTGAGGCTGCCAGGGCTGCCTCCCGCCACCCACTGCCTCTCTGCCAGTTCGCACAGACATGCAGCAGGGCTGCAGCCAGAGGAAGAGTGGTGCCGGGCAGCTGCTGTGAAGTTCCCTGGCTAAATGCATTTGATTTCTAGCCGAGAAAGAAGCTGTTAAGATGCAGAGCCCACATTCATACATGAGGAAGGAAACGGAAGCCTAGGAAAAATACTGGTTCTGGAGTAGGATTGCTATATGCCTTATTAACTCCACCTGTGGAAGCTGGCTGGCTTTGGATTTGATCCTTATTCAGCATTCAGAGCAGGCTGCAAGCCTCTCCAGTGACGCCAGGCCGCAGTCTAAGCGTCCTGGCCATGGCCATGCATTGCAGCCAGGGAGATCCACCTCTGTGGAGGTTTTGTAGCCGTTCTGTCAGCATTTTGCTTTTGGGGAATGTTGACAATAGAATTTGGAAATGCAGCTTACCATGGTGGAGAAGATGGTCTCCATCTTATCTTCTTGTAGCCGTCTGAAACCAGTTATTTTGCAAGCCAGGCTGCTGTTCACAAGGACTTTGTGGGCAGCAAGGCTTTTATGTATGTAACCCATCTCTGCCAGGTACTTCATGCCAGAGGCAATCCCCTGCAACATGCAAACGAGCTGAGTGGCCGTGAACTGTCCCTCATGTTTCTGTAAAAAAAGAGGAGGAAAAGCCACAGGTGAGTAATGCCCAGTTCAAGGGGACACCGTCAGCAGAGCCCGAGCAGGTGGCAGACCCCAGCAGTTACCACAGCACTCACCCTGAGAAAAGAGTCCAGCACGCCATTCCCCATGTACTCCATCACTATCATCATGGTACTCCCTGCACGGACAGACAAGGAGCACTGCATGAGTCCTGCCCATTGCTCAGGCAGTTCTAACACTGCAGGTGTTAGAAAGCCAGGTGCTAACCTCCAGCGTGGTCAGCCTGCACTGCCTGGCTATTAAGGGAGACAAGGACTTTATCTCAGTTTGCAATGAGCAGCGGGGCCGAGGCTTTTCTGTTGTTCCCAGCTGGGATCCCACTGGATCTCAATATCAGATGCTCCTTTTTATCAGGACACTGAACCACATCACAAAGGAGGTCAGCACTACCCAGTGAAAGCAAAAGCAACCAGCTCAGCCCAAGACTCAAGACAGAAATACTTCCTTACCTAATAAAAAGGCTAGTTAAAATTAGCACACGTGCTCACGTTTCTTTGGATTTACATGAATATCCATTTAACTACAGCATCCACAGACTAGTTCAGCGCACGCACTCCCACGAGAGCCAGGAGCAGAGTCATCTGTTTTACTGACAGAACCTCACTTCAATTTGCTTTTATTAAGAGTGCACGGTTTTGCTGCTAAGCCAGTCCTACTACCTGGATTTATAAATCTAGCTGTAAGCATTTTATTAATCATCAGAATGCTAAAACAGCTAATACATGAGGAAACACCTGATTTCCAGAGAGCCAACAGTATTGCACCTCCAGCACCAGGTCATCGCTCCAAAGCAACAGCTTAAGCACACTGCCTGCACAGGAGCCTTCCTCCACTGTGCGTGGCTCAGGCTGCCCTGTGTCGTACAGCCCGGGACCCCCCTTACCTCTGGTGATGACACCTTCCAGGCGGATGACATTGGAGTGGTCGAACTGGCCCATGGTGCACGCCTCTGCCAGGAAGGAGCGCTGCTGCTTCTCCGAGCACCCTGCCCGCAGGGTCTGGATCGCCACCGGCAGCTCCCGCTTGCTGGGCAGCTTCAGGCATCCCCGGCAGATTTCTCCAAACTCTCCTGCGCAGCAGAGAGATGAGTTAAACAGCATCCATGGCAGGACATCCCTCGCAGCCCGCTGCTCAGCACCGCGCCTTCCCAGAGGACCCCCTGCAATTGCATTCACACCACTCCTTTGTGCACTGTCACAGATCCCTCTGCCATTTCCAGACCATGAAAGAATGAGCTATCTGCTAGCCAACTTCACGGCTTCCTCACAGCTTTCGGTATCGTTGTGTAAGGGCAACGTTTTATTGAGCTGTTGCAATGCACTATAAAGACAGGGCTTTATATATATATATATATATATTCATGCTACAAAGCAAAGGGCAGCAGTCCTCTTCTGGGAAGTCAGCTTCCCTTTAGGGGATATTTCCTTTGCTTTGGGACCATAGAAAGTGCATTTCTGTAGCATGAGTGATGTGTCTTGCTGTGTGGACAAGCAAGACTTTCCCATTGTTAATCAGAGGATTTGCCAATCCATAAACTCAGAAATGCGCAGAGCCCTGGATAGCTGCGAGTTTCCCCCACAGAGTCTGTTTTACCACCTTCCCCCACCTTTACTGAACACACAACCCTTCACACAAGTTTAGCATCAGCATGTGATACTAAAAACATCTGATAATGCCATGCAATTTCTTCTTCCTCTTCCTACACCTCTAAGCCATTCTCTCCACGCTCTGCTCAAGTGCATATTGTGCTTTTTCCCATGAGAAGGTCAACCCCCAGCCACCGAGTTCATGCTCCCTGGGCTGGCCCATTCTGCTTCCCACCTCAGCACATGCAGGGTCTGCATCTCATGGAACAGAGCATGGCAGGGCCAGGAGGGTTTCTGCAGTCTTTGAGGCAGAGCATCCCACTCTGCACAGCCATGCGCTTGACAACAGGAGCTACCAAATTCGTAACACAAAAGGCCAATATTGGCTTTACAGCAGAAAACGTGTAGCTATGCAAAGCTTTATTGATTTGAAAGTCAGGTACTTGTTAGGTCAGCAGTGAGACAAATGCACTCCCAAATTCCTTACATTTAAATATCTTCCTGACTGATTTTTCTTGATTTTTCAAACACCAATTTGCTTCTGAAAGGTATGTGGGATTAGTCTCAGCTGCTCCACTCAGCAGCTACAAAGACAACCTCCTCTTCTCCTCAGTGTCCCCTTCCCTTCAACACTGTCCTTTAAGCTGGTGGGCAAGCCCTTCCCCTCTTCCCTTCCTCCACCTCTTCTTTTTCTGCAGCTGAATTTATCTTTAGGAAAAGAAACAACAAAGAATACTTGTGTTTTCCATGTTCTGGCACACATTAGCGATTAAGGCTCTAGGGCCCAGTGAGGGGATTTTAATTTGCTTTTAAGTTTTAGGCAGTGAAGTTGATGAAAATCAATAAATCATTAGGTTCACATATTTATAAATAGTTCTCATGCTGCTGTCAAACTGCCCAGATGCAGATAATTGCTGATGCTTTCTGGTCCGTGCCTCGCTCGGTTGGCTGTACTTAGTGCCTCAGAAAAACAAACGGGAATGCGAAATCAAGCTCCCGAACAAAATACACACCAGCCCCATGCCCATCTGCCCACTGCAAGCATGTACTCCCCTGAGACAAGAGCAAGAGCAAAGGTCCGCAAGCGCTGACAGTGCCGGAGGATGAGGAGCTGCCAGCAAGGCAGGCAGAGCCCGCGGGCAGCAGCGGGAGGGCCGGCACGCACCCACGGCACTGCGGGTTGGGCAGGACCGCAGCGCAACATCATGACACTACCGCGGCCCTGTGTGCCGGGGGTGAGCGGGGAGCGCTCCGGCTGGGCACAAGCACAGCCCCAGGCACAGCCACCGCCACCGCCCCGCGGCACAGCCACTGCCCCGGTGCCAGCCGCAGAGGGGCCAGCGAGGAGGAACTTGCCTGTCCCAATGATCCTCTCAATTTTAATACTAGCGTTATCCAGCTCTTTGGCAAAGAGGTGCACGCCCTGCATGGGGTCTTCACAAGTGTCAGGGTCGATGTACGTCCTCCTGGTTGGTATTTTAACTGCAGGAAAGCAGGAAATGCACAAAGAGCGCATGAGAAAGGCTTGGCAGAGCTCCTGCCAGCCTGTCCCAGGAAACGCTCTTGCAGGTTATCCATCTCCAGGTCTGCTGGAAGGATTAACTTGCCACCTTTTTATAAGCAAAGCAAAAGGCTTGACTTTAAGGTTGCTAGGAAATTTCTTGTGGGATTAAATGAACCTAATTGCTCTGCTCCACTGCCACAACCCACGGGTTAAAGGAGAGCAGCTCCTTCACTCTAGTGCAGCTCCCTCCCGGACTGAGCCTATCTGCCACCCATGCTAATCCTCGAGTATCCAAATCATCTCCACTCCCAAGACCTCTGCAAGAGATAATTATAATAACGAACAGCCACCATGTTCCAGGTCCCCTCGATTAGCAGCATGGGCAGCAAAATACCTCCCACAGGCGCTTACCATCTGCTGCACAGCGAGCGACCCTGCCCAGGAGCACATGTGGAACGAGGCTGACCTGCTTACAGCAGCCACTGCAAAGCTCTGGAGGGGAAACAGCCGCCCACTTGCTGGGGCTTCCTCAAAACCCTAATTCACATTTCCTGAAAACAAACAGCCAAAACAATGGCTGAAGCACATCAGCTTTGCCACTCGCTGGGCCCCTGCTAGAGCACTGCCATGTCTCCTCCTCCTCCTCTCCCTGGGCAAGGCAAGAAAGATGACGGATGCTTTGCACGAGCTGCTTGGCCCGTCCAGGACCAGTGCACGGACAAATGGCCCAGGAACCCATGGCCCCCAGGAAGGGGTCACACCACGCAAGGCTTCCCTTCCACCTCGGCTCCATTCGCCTTCCCGAGACCGGGCAGCTGCTGCGCTCCCCTCGCGCTGCACAGAAAACCCTCGGCAAGCTCCAAAGGGCAGCTCAGCAGCGTGAGGCACTTCAAAGCCAGGTGAAATGGCCAAGCTACGTCTGAGAAACACACAGTCTCTGCTGCTTCTGAAATGCTTCGGGGAGCAGAAGAGCATGTGTGCGCTTCATGGGCATATGCCAGGAATCAAATAAACTCATCAATCCTGACATCTGAATTTCCTTTGACAGCTGTTGTCTGTACAATTATTGCTGCTCAATAATCAAGAGTAGCCCCAGAAAACAAAGCTGTAGCCATTTGTGAAAAGCTGACAGAATAATTCATATGCCCCGTGGAAAGCTGAAAGCATCCCCACTTCCTTCGGCACGGCAGTGACCTGTGTGCGGGAAGGATGGACGCTGGCTTATGAAGCTGTCAAGCCCGCCGTCCCCAGAGAGCCTCACTGTGCTGAGCCCCTGCTCTGGGATAACGTGGGATGACAACACTTCAAAAGTAAGAATTCAGGGCTGCTTTGTCGGGAGCTTGGTTATTAATAGCAATAAATACAGGCATCTCCACACAGTCGTACCAGCCATGGTGGCCGGGCTTCACTTACAATGGAAGTACAGCTCCTCGTCCCCATCCTGGCTGGCTTTGCTGTACCCACACTGTCTGCAACGAGAATGAAGATGCACACCGTTACCTGCGCAGCAGCCTCTCACTCGGTATGAAAGCCTCAAGTCGCAGTGCTCAGGCACAGAGTCCAGCCCCATGCCACGAAGAGCCAGCAGGCAGTTCAACCCAGCTCCCATGCTTAGAGCCAGCGCCGCTCCGTGCTCCCAAGAGCCCCTGCTGCGGGGGCTTCGCTTCAGTCCTCCTCCCCTGCTCCAGCCCCAAACCTCCTCAGTCCGTGCGCTGGCTCAGCCACAGCTCCGCTCACCTCCTCCAGACCATCACACCGATCACCATGGACACCAGCACCGTCAGCCCCGTGATGACCACCACCGTGATGATAAGGACAGGGTTCTGCTCACTGGAGGCCACCGTCACTGCGGGAGGGAAGCAGAGTCAGTCGGCAACGCACCCTAGGGCAGGTCCAAGGCACGGGGCAGCCTCAGCCACTCCTCCCAGTGCCAGCCTGCGTCCTCCAACAAGGCTGTGGAGGACACCCGCAGCACCAGGCTACTTTTCACCATCCTCTCAGGAATTCACATTCTGGTTCAGTTCTAAAAGCTCGAGCTGGTGCAATCAGAACAACGTGCAGGGCAGTGCTGCAGGCGCGGATGGAGCAACCCCAGCGCTGCCACACCAGGCTCCTGGTTTTGTTAATCAGCGCTGAGGAAAGGTTCCTGTTTGTCAGAGGAACATATTAAAATTTATGGCGTACAAATAGTTTTCCTTTATCACATTAATCCCTTCCCTTCCTGCTTTTGCAAACAGGGGTATTAGAAAGCTACATTCTATATAAAATTTTTATTGGCTTCAATTCATTCTGAAAATGTCTTCTGTGTGGCAAATGGATGCAATTTAAAGCCCTGTTAAACACAATCTGTGAGAGTCGTACTGAGCCAGCCATCTCGGGGCTTTCATTTCTAGCCAGGGTGGGTTATTAAGCTGAAGCCCTACCATCTCTCCAAGCCCTCTTTTACTCAGTGAAATAAGATGCTTCTGGACTATAGTTATGAATGGAAACCGTGAAAAGGAAAAGCCCCAGCAAATAACACTGATGCTGGCTGACCTTATTCAGCCAAGCAGCTAACAAGCCAAGTGCTTCATGAGCCAGGATGGCAGTGGGGGTAAGCAGTCATCTCCTATCTGGGGCACGCATCCAAGGCCAGCTGGATCTCCAGGCTGGCCTTGTCTCCTCTGCTGCAGCCTGTGCAGCCAGCCACCCCATCTCTGCAGCACCCGCTGTGGGCTGCACAGTTTCGCAGACCCGGGCAGGATCATGCCCTCGGCAGTTACGCTGGCAGGGACCAACGCTCGCTCCCTTCCAGCACCTGTTTGGTGGCCCCACAACAGGGACCTGGTGAGATCTGTTCCAGCACCAACATCAGACCAAGGCAAAACAACCCCCAGTCGCTCTGGCAAGCACTTTCTTGGGGAATCTCAAAGAGCAGAGACCCTGTCCCCAGCCTCTACACCAGAGAGGAGCCAGAGACTGGCTGCCCTCACTGATGCTGCGCTGAGTGAGGACAGACACCTCCAGGACAAGCAGGCCAGCAGTAGCAACTTTGTTAAAATCAAACAGGAAAATGCAATTAAAAGCAAGTCCTGGGAAGTACCTGCTCTTAGACCCGGAGCAGCAGAACCAGACGAACAGATGCTGCTCCATGAAACCAAGAGCATCTGGGGCAGGAGCAGCAAGCAGCAGCATCCCCAAGACTCAGTTCAAAGAGCCTCATGTCTGCAGGTGCGTGTGCAAGAGACAACGAGCCTTGCCAACACTTACACTCTGCCAGCGTCTCCACTTCAATACTAGGGTTGTAGTTTCCGTAGTCCGGTGAGGAAGATGTCCGGATTTGGAAAATATAGAGGGTGCCAGGCTTCAGGTTATTGACCGTCACAGCTGTTGATGTGGTTTTCACAGTTGAGTAACTCTGATCTCTCTGATCCTGTGAAATAATGAGATACCCCAAGATCTAGCTGGACTGACAGCTGTGCCACGGAGCAGGCACAGCACAGCTGTATCTTCGCCTCGCCTCCGAGTCCCATCAATAGAGTCTATCTAAACATAAAACCTTCAACAGAAAGAATACATTTACTAGATGTCTCATTAATAGAAATTACATGGAAAGGTCACATGAAATGGCAGATGGAGCCAGATGATATGCTATGAAGACAGCCGGAGGATGGGGTGGTGGGGAGCAGCTGTGCCACCCCACACAGCTCCTTTCCTCCCACCTGCCCCCACGCTGGGGCTTGGCTGCTGGCACCATCCGGCCCCTTCCCACTCGAGCCCTGGAGTAAATACGTGTGTATTAGCACACGCTAAGTAATCAAAGCTGGCAGGTGTGTTTGCCAACAGTCCTGGTCCCTGGGATTTTATTCACTTGCCCAGTGACCTACAGATCCCTCTGCTTCAATTAAGGGAGAGCACAACGGGCAGCCCCCCTCCTGCAGCTGCTGCTGGAGGCGGTGAAGGCAGAGTGGGCTCTGCCTGGCCAAGTGGCCAGTGGGACCGCTGGGCAACTTGCGACGCTTTCACGTGCCAGAGCAGCAGATCCCCGTGCCTCTGCTTCCCGTGGTTTGCAAAGCAAAACAAGCCCCAGCCCTCCCGCCAGCCTCCGCAAAGCTTCCCATGCTTCTGCACAGTCGCCACAAGAGATTGTTTTCTCAGCCATGTCGGGTACTTCCGAACAAGTTCCCTGGCGAGAAGATGAGGCCAGTGCCACTGCAGTCCTGGACCAGGGTTATCTGAGGCTATTTTCTACTGGGAGCAGGGCCAGGCCGTGTCCCACTGCCTCAGCATCGGCCCCTCTCGGATCCCACAGGCATGTGCTACACCCTCGTTACACAGGGGACCAGCCCCAACGAGCATCCCAGCCCTGCGATCTGGCACGGGCACAGGCAGCAGCCATTCATTGTGCTGCTCCCAGGGCCGGGGACATCGCTGTGAAATGTATTTTCCATTTGATACGCTTTTCCTCTTGTATCTCCATAGTTAAAGTACAACTTTAAAAGCAAAGATTAGGAACTAAGTTGATTTTTGTGTCAGCATCAAGAGCCTCATTTCAGTGAATAATTGCTAAACTATAGTTTGAATTCCATACCCAAGCAGGACGTTTTCTCATTTCACATACCCTGAGTATCTTGTCACTGTGGCCCATTTGCACAGGAATTACCATCTCAGGCTTCAGCATTCACCCTCACCCACAGATTCCTCCTTTCAAATCTACCAGATGCTGAAAATCACATTAATATGAATCAGCTTCAAGGTAGCTTTTTTCTAAATACAGAACGCCAACATGTCACCCGCACAGTTTGCTTGACGTGTAATCAGTTTCATAACAAGCCTGAGCACACGCAGATAAGGTAGTTCGTGGAACTGTGTCATAAACTGCATTTATTTTGATTCAGAGCGTTGTCCCTGCTCTCTGCCCACTGGTATTTCTTCTAAAATTCTCAACCCACCACACCTGTCAAATAACAGCTATTTTTAGAATCAAGAGACTGTCATAAAAATGTTTGCTTGTGAAACATTCTGCGTGGAAGACCACTCACAGCTCACCAAAGTCACGGGTTCGGCGGCCCTCAGTCCTAAACCAGTGAAGGCCACAAGGTCCAACACTTTCCCAGAGAGCAGGCTATGAATACAGGTGTCCTCTCGTCAAAGATTTAGAAACCCAGTATGGTTTAGCAGTCCCTGTCTAGCTGGCTAATGGCAAGCACCCAAACCTCAGATTTCTAATGTCCTTGAAAAAAGCCATCCAATGCATAAAAAAAAAAAAAAAAGAATGAATGAAAATTATTAGCTTTACGCTTTCTCCTAGGGAAACGTCAACATTAGGACTGGATGAAATCTTGCTGCACAGATGGGGGGAAAAAAACACTAATTAACATAAACTCTACAAATAATCCAAATTTCCTAAAATTTGCATAAGCAGATTGCATAACACTGTCAGAGAAGAAAAGACCTTATTGGCCCCCATTTGAAGCGCTCCTCTTACTTTCAGGTGCCAGTAAAATCTTCACAACAGCTCCGTCCGCAGACACGCGCTCCCTCCCTTTCCCACCACTCAATCTTCACGCGGCGGGTGCTTGACTGCGAGCGGCAGCGGCGGCACACACAGCCCCCCCCCGGCACCACGCTCCCCAGAGGCAGACCTGGCTGGCACGGGCAGCACCCGGGAGTCAGCCAGGGAGGGCCGGGGGACAGCCGAGAGACAGAGC